TCCATAGAAAGTCCGCGAATGAACTACATTCCTTGGTTGCCCCTGGCCTAACCTTCACGGCTAAGCACCCGCCATGCCATTTAAATAGTAGCAAACTACCAAAGTTCCATCTGTATTTCATCGGCGAGAGGTAAGTTCCACTCAAACAGCTCCTTCCTGCTGTTCTGTGGAATAAACCCCCAAGAGGATGTTTCCTCGATTGATACAATCTTAACCTGTTCAAGTCTAAAGTTAATCATTATCTTAACCTTCTATCAATATAAACTACACTTTAAGGTAAGCCTCTACCTCGAGTTCTCTACCAACCTTGTACAGGGTGGCCTTACTGTAAAAAAAGGAAAGAAAATGAATGTTTATATAGTTTATACCTGTGAGTACCAAATTATTAAAAACTGGAAAAATGCAAAAAAAAAAAATAAGGATTTTTTTCGATTAAACTACTTCAAATATATACGAATTAGTTTAATCGAAAAAAATCCTTATTTTTTTTTTTTGCATTTTTCCAGTTTTTCTATTTTTTATTATATATTTCGCCTGTCAAATCTGTTGTTCGGTTTGACTTGTTATTTTTTACGGCATATCAACCTCAATGGGTTATTTAATGCCGACAACTTTTTTTCCTGGTAATATTTTGTTTTGTCAAAAATCTATTTCTGATAATATTTTTTCTCAATGTATCGCTGGTAATATTATTTTAAAATATATATTACTGGTAATATTTTTTTTCAAAAATACATTGCTTGCAATAGTTTTTTTTGCCAAAAATATATTGCTGGTAATAAATGTTTTTTGTTTGTTTTTAAAAATATATTGCTGGTAGTATTATTTTTCCAAAAACGTATAGCTGGTAATATTTTTCCCAAAAACGTATTGCTGGAAATATTTTTTCTTCAAAAACTTATTTCTGGTAATAATTTTTTACAAATTATTTATTTCTGGTATAAAAACCTATTTTTACACTTTTATAATGCTTTTTGCCTCAGTTTCGGTGCTAAATGTTTGCCCATGGCTGGGATCCTAACAGGTGCAATGAAAATGTGGTTCCACACTCCTCAAAACCTCCTGATCAGAGGCCTTGCTGTCGGACGTATTTTATCGTCTTACCCAGGATGCGTATGTAGTTTATCATCATACAGAGGACGGCAAATTTGTTGTATTTAAGCTATTGTTCTGAGAATTGAGATTTTTCTTTCCTTTTTGTGCTTATTAACATATAGAAAAACCTGGCACTTTACGGGCATGAGATTATGAGAAATAGATAAAAAATATTCAAAATTGATGGGTGTACGTCACTGACTGTATCTTGCTATTTATTTATTTATTTTTTTAAACACTTCTTTTTCTAATGAAAAAAATCTGTCAACTAAATAATAATAATGACGTTGTACGATTTAAATATCGGCACATGGCCAGATGATTAGAATGTACGTTTTCGACCATGAGTCGATTTGTCAGGAAGGTGACATCTTGATTAGGAATTAAGGATTAATTGTTACTCTGCTTGTCGACTCTGTACCTCCAGGCGGAGAGAAAACCAGACGAGGTTAAGGGAAAGGCAGACAGCTACCCGACCCCGTGTATATGGGGTCTACAGGCAATTTTTGACCGAACCTACGGGTTCGGAACGCCCCACAAAAAAAAAAAAAAAAAACAAAAAAAAACGGACTTTTGTCACATCCCGCCTTGTGGGGAGGTCTCAGGTAAATACCAAGGTGACATCTTGATCTGGGGAGGCGTTCCTCATGTGCGGCTCCTTTGCAAAATGTCTGCAAACCATACCCCCCCCCCACCCGGGTTCTGAATGAGAGCAGTTGACAGTTGTAATAGCACAAAGTCGTCGAGACCGACGGTTTGAGAGTACCGACCGTTCATTTTTGGTTTGTTGATCACGCTTTCACTCTCGCAGATGCTGTAACAAACGTCCGTTGGAGTATAAAATAAAGGTCGGATCTGTAAGTGTTTCATTAACACTAATGTACCTGAGCAAACGTCTACAACAGGGACTGAATAGCTTGATGCGTGAAATCCTCAAAACGTAGAGCTGTTGTCCAGAATATGCATATCAATAAACACCCAATATATATATATATATATATATATATATATATATATATATATATATATATATATATATATATATACAGAGAGAGAGAGAGAGAGAGAGAGAAATACAAGCAAACACTTTCGTACACATGGCCTGAGCTCCTAAAACTCATGATTATGTATAGATGTGTGCTTGTGAGAACAGAACATGCATGAGTGATTTTGTGCGATAAGTGTATATATGTACTGAAATATCTTCTCTCTCTCCATATATATATATATATATATATATATATATATATATATATATATATATATATGACGTCTGTGTTTGTATGTAATCTATACTTTTCTTATTTTGTTATAATTAAAAGAAATGCCATTCTCTATTTCGTTTGTCGATAGGGAATTCAAGTTCTCAATCGAATATTCTCTTGTGACTTCATGAATACGGTCGGATTAACAGGCCCAATAATTATCATTGACACAAATATTTCTATGTGTTCCTCTGAATGTAAGAAAAAGAATTATCAATTACGGTGTGAAACAAAACTATAATAATAATAATAATAATAATAATAATAATGAGAGAAGGGAGAATAGAAGAAAGAGTAGGACAACAATAAGATACAAAGAAGAAAGTATATAGATATGAGTTTAAATAAATAAGTAAATACATATATATATATATATATATATATATATATGATGATATGAATAACAAATAAGAAATACAAACACACAAAAAACATATATATATATATATATATATGATAAGACAAAAAACATGTAGGAAATATATATATATATATATATATATATATATACAGAGAGAGAGAGAGAGAGAGAGAGAGAGAGAGAGAGAGAGAGAGAGAGAAAAAGAGACTGAGACTGGTGTGTTCATCTAGAAATGAATATGTTTAAATTCACCTTAATTCCTGCCCTGTGCCAAGTCAGCCAGGTTTCAATCCTAGCAAGAGGCAACCGGACGTCTAGCCACACAGATGCACCTTGATATAGCGAAACAGTCTGTCTGTAGATGACTATATATGTCATATCATTGCAAAAGTTCTTGCCCAATTTTCATTGTTAATATAAAATGACCGCAATCTGACACTGGTGTTTATTTTGGTCCTGAAAATGTGCTCCAATTTCAAACCTTTCATCGTTCAGGATTTTTATCATGTTGGCGTTCCGTATCCCAAAAATGTCTTAAGATGGATCAAGCTGATTGTAATGCCATATCAAATAATGGCGATTATGAAAATCTTTTGTTTGCGTGAACGTGATTAATAAGTATCTTCGCACCGCCCACACACACACATACACACACACACACATATATAAATATAAATATATATATATATATATATATATATATATATATATATAGATAGATAGATAGATAGATATGATTTATTTCCTGATATTGAAACAAAAATATGTCCTCGTACGATGGGAAATTAAATTACTCATGGTTGTTAGAGTAGACACATTTGTAGAGCTGAAACATAATTGCAGTTGTGGATCGATTTTTAATATGTTTTTGATTTATAATATCCTAAAATAAATAATATTCCATTCTACTCTCTATGAGCACTCTTTTAAATTAAATCTTACAGTGTATTATGCTCCATTTGTTCTCATATTTTACACACATGGGATGACCTGATATATATATATATATATATATATATATATATATATATATATATATATATATATATATATATATATGTCAGGTCATCCCATAAGTTATATCGAATTTTGAATAAAAGAAAACAAGTGACCAAATGTTACATTTAATTACAGATTCAGTCAACGATGTATTTTCCCTGATTATCTATGACTTCCTTCCCCTTTACCAAGCCACTGTCTACGACGCTTAACAAGCTTACTTATTCCATTACTGTAAAATTCTTTTGACTTTGATTCGAAGAACTCACAAATGTCAGTTTTAACCTCTTCCTGTGTTACAAAAGCTGTTTCTTCCAAATGATTCTGTAAGCTACGAAACAAATGGTAGTCTGAAGGAGCAAGATCGGGAAAATAATGTGGATGAGGAATTTTCTCCCAACCAAGTTCTTCGATCTTTTGTGACGTGATTCTTGCTGTGTCGGGTCGCGCATTGTCCTGATGAAACATCACCCATTTTTTGATTCACTAGAGCAGGTCTTTTTTCCTCAAAGCTTGGTTCAAACGCTCTAATTGTTGACAGTATATTTGATCATTAATTGTTGCATTAGGTTGTATCCCACCAGATTGAAAGAACCTTTTGCCCATGAAGTTCCCTTCTCGGCTGTGGCTGGGGTTCTTCCCCTTTACCAAGCCACTGTCTACGACGCTTAACATTTCGATAAAAGATCCATTTTTCGTCGCCAGTCACAAGTCTATCCAAAAAAGGTGAAACAAGTTGGCGAGAATGGAGAGAAGAGCAGATGTCAATTTTTGAGGTTGTTTTCAGACAATTCATGAGGCACCCATTTTCCAAGTTTAGGAACTTTTCCAAGTTGTTGAAGATGACGATGAACAGTTTATGGTTTGAACTGAGAACCACTGCCAATTCGTCAACTGATAAAGCAGGATTTTCTTCAAGGGCTGCTTCAAGAAGCTTTTAATCAAACTCAACTGGACGTCCGGTTCGATCTTGCCGCTGGACGTAGTTTGTCGGCTTACCCAGGACGCGGATGTAGTTTAACCTCTGACCCAGGACGGCTAACTTGCAAAGGACCATAGATTATGTTTTCGTACAATTGATAGACTTTCATCTTGCTTTTTATCAATCATTTCACCACAGGAAACGCGATAATGACATCTAGACACAAGATTTACTGAGAGTGAATGAAAAAAAAATTTAGTCAGAACAGGATTCAGGAAAACACCAGAGGGTGATTGATGTTGCGCTTAATTTTTGGTAGATTGTTGGTAACAGGGAAGCAAGAAGCCAGCAGGGAACTTCAAAGAAAGAAAGAAAGAAAGAAAGAAAGAAAGAGAGAGAGAGAGAGAGAGAGAGAGAGAATCTATTGGAATAAAACTTACGGTTACCTCTATTTAAACAGTAAAATGTTTAACCTAGTTGCTAATCTAATAGAAGGATTAATGTAGTCCGAGGTGGTGTAATGGTTAGCAAGCTTGTACCGATAGCACAATTACGAATGAGTAGTGAGTTCGATCCTCACTGCGTGCCCAATACTTTCGGACTTGTGCCACATCTAAGCTACGCTTAGAATATCGCATCTAGTAGTAGAATTAAATTCGTGCGGTTGAAGTAACAACGAGTAAATCTCACTGAGACAATTGCCATGAAACTATTTGGAGAAAAGACACAGGGAAGTCACATCAAGTCAAAATGCATAGCAGGACCGATAGCAAAACAGAAAACCAGACCAGATGTGACAGCAATATTCAAAGGACGGATGAATGGTAAATATATAAACATGCAATATAGATTCTGGAGAGGAAGTTTGCCAGTAAACCTACTTTCTGCTATCGACGTAACAACAAATTTAATATAATCATTCTAATTCATGGCAGTGAAAAAAAAAACGAAAGAGAAAGATCAATGACTAACATCTGTAAAGTTTCTAATACAAAAGACAGCAGTTTCGTTTTGGGGACGTTAAAATGTACAAGCCATTAATTGCCTCAGTTAAAAATTGATTTGGGGTATTGTATTTAAAAATAAACAGGGACATAAAGCTTGCGAGGTCGTGGATTTTTTGCAGTCTCGCTACCAATTTCACTTTCGCCAACCAGGCCATCAAATCATCTTCGTCACTGAACGTTTTCACCATATCGACAGTTACTTTGCGATTCCCTCTATATCGTTACGGCGCTTATATCAGATATAAATGCCGAAATAGCTTTTAGTTTAAATTCGAGAGTCTGGCTTAAATTCCTTAGTAGGTACTAATCCTGAGTGACAAAGTGTAGATGTTGTATTTGTCTGGTCGTTTGTCGACTAAATTCCTTTTCTTACCCCGCCATCTTTCGTACACTGCATATTTATATTTTCCCAAATCTCGTAGTCGTCGTGATTTTGCGTTAATTTGTCAGCATAAAAACAATATGGCTTCCCCACGAGATTCTGTTTACGTACGGACGTCCATGAGGTTAGTGTTTTTTGTTTTTTGTTTTTTTTTTCAAAGTACAGGTAATTTTCGAGATAAGTTGCCAGTCTTAAATTATCGGATATATCGGACTTACTATTAAGAGATGAGTAAATAATATTGTCATCAGTATGCATAGTTAGTTACGAACTGATGTCATAGGAAATGTCGTTGATAAATATAGGAAATACTTTAAGTCCAAGAATTGAACTCTGAGAGAAACCCGTATTAATGTGAAAGGATCCAGAAGCTTTCCTATATGTCGGAAAATATGAAGAATAGAATTAAGTGAGTGGAGAGGATGTTTCGACTGGGAATCCCTAAGGCACGAACACCTCTTACTCCCCCGTTTTATTAGCCATCCATTTTGATTGGTTGAAGAGGTGAGGGCTGAGTTATATTAGAAAAATCCCTTCACTTCATACTAATTGTCTTTTTTTGGCCGACAGTGAAACAAATTTGTATTATTGTTCCTATCTGTTATTACTGTGGTTACATGACCCTAATTTTCGGCATCTATTGTCTTGTCTGGAAGTTCCTCCAGATTTCTTTCAGTCTTTTATCAACATCCTAACATTTCTGTATCTTTAATTTTGTGTTCACGAATAATATATTCTGGTCTAGAATTTTCGACGGTTTCTAGAAAGTTTTGATCTATATGTTAATAGTAATAGTATACGATCCTTAATAAGAAAAAATCGGCATTTATTAGTCGAACAACAAGTGCAACAAGTGCAACTTTCGGCGCTCTCTCACATTGATAATAGGTTAATTCCTAAACCATTATTACCAATACTCTGTAAAGTTAACATCTTGATCATGTCATTATTTTCTCTTCGAATTACAAATGATATCTATTTTAGTTTTTGCCGCTGTTGGTATTCCTCAATTCTTTGTTCTTTGCCGCTGTTGGTATTCCTCAATTCTTTGTCTGTAGCGCCGGATTTACTGCACTATGAGGGGCGACAGCAGTGGCTGGACATTTGGCCGATAGATATTTGGCCGAACGGACATTTGCCGACGGACATTGGGCCGAACGAACATTTGGCCGACGGACATTTGACCAAGTGACATTTGGCCGATAGTCAGTCGGATATTTGGCCGAACGGACATTTGACCGAGTGACATTTGGCCGAGAGACATTTGGCCGAACAGACATTTGGCCGATAGTCAGGCGGATATTTGGCCGAACGGACATTTGGCCAAGAGACATTTGGTCGAACGGACATTTGGCCGATAGATATTTGGCCGAGTGACATTTTACCGAACGGACATTTAGCCGAGTGACATTTGACCGAACGGACATTTGGCCGAACAAACATTTGGCTGAACGGATATTTGGCCGAGA